GAAAAAAAAAAAAAAAGACTGTCCTCCTGAGTGTTGATGCTATGAAGTCTCAGGAACTCTCAGGTACTGCTGTGAGGTATGTGAAATGGCTTAACCACTTTGGAGAAGTTTTCCCATTTCTTATACAATTAAACGCATACAGTACCTACTGTATTATACCCAGTCATTGTACTTCTAGGTATTTACCTAAGAGAAATGAAGATTGTCCTGCAAAGGCTTATACCAGGATGTTCACAATGATTTTATTTTTAATCACCAAAAACTGGAAACAAACTGAATGCCCATCATTCATTATTAGGTGAATAGATAAACAAATTATAGAATATCTGTATATTAGATTATTAAACATCTAAAATATGTGAGCTATTAATACATGCAACATGGATAAATTCAAAATTATGCTGAGTGAAAGAAGCCAGATCAAAAAAGTATATACTACATGATTCCATTTATATAAAACCCCGATGATCCAATCTAATATATACTGACAGAAGGCTGGGTGGAAGAAGTGATTACAAAGAAAGCTTCTGGAGATGACAAACACATTCATCACATTGATTGTGGTGTTGGTTTTACAAACGGGTCAGAACTTATTAACTGTACACTTAAAACACGTACAACTTAATGTCAGCTACAGTTCAACAGAGTGTTTGAAACACACTGCAGCCTTTTTAGAGACTCATGGATCCCTAGAATGTAGAGAGACGTTGAGTCATCGTTCTAGTTTTCACTGAGGGCTACTATTCACCCTGCTCGGAGAGCCTGGAGTGCAGAAGCATCGAGTCACACTGACACCGCTCACTGGTGTCCTCATGCTCCCTTACATGAGGTACCCTAACTACAGCCATTGGAGGACGCTGCTGGTGCCGTCTTCTAGGTCCCGGATGTTCTCCTCTATGCCAACTCAGGAACCCCGCGATGTGAGGATTCCGGGGTGGCTGTGCCTGTTTCACCCTGTCCCTTAGCCTTTGCTTTACTTGTTGCCTTCCAGCTGGGCAGGGTGGCACAGTGGAAAGCACCTGGCTAGGGGTGCAGACTGGGATTCGAGCACTGGGGTTGTGCTAAATGGTGCGAGATCTTGCACAACTAGGCTTTTTCCTTGCACCACACTCAACTTCAGTTTTCTCATCTGTTAAAAGAGGGGACGTGCATTAAAACTGATGTGCAACCCCACGTCTTGACGGGAATGATTCTGAATATCATGTTAAATGAAAAAGAAGTGCAAAACAAAGCTGGATTCAGAGTTAGATATACAGTGTGACCCCAATTCTGTAAAAACATTTATGGGAAGAAAACTTACAAGGAGATCGCACACACATACGATATGACGCTGCACTAGTGGGATTGTGGGTATCTTTGTTATTTCTTTTCTCTCTTTTTAAAAAGACAGTTTTAGATTCACAACGAAACTAAACGACGGTACAGAGATGTTCCACACGCTCCCTGCCTTGCCCCGTGTCACGTCCCCCACCAGTCTGCCACATTTGTTCTAGCTGATGCGCCTGCATCGTTACATCATTTTCACCCAAAGTCCAGAGTTCGAATTAGGCTTCACTCTTGACACTGTATATTCTAGGGATTTAGGCAGATGTATAAGGGCTGTATCCGTTACTGCAGTTTCATTGTCCTAAAATTACTCTGTGCTTTGCCTATTCATCCCTTCCTCCTTTCGATCCCTTACAAGGACTGACTGTGTCATTTCCTTTTTCACATACTCTCCAAATTTTCTGCTACGTGAGTATATGATTTTTATAATTGGGAAAGAAAAACAGGGCTTTCCTTGAGACTCCAATATTATAGTTGCTGAAACATCTTAACAGCTTAAGAAACCAAATAAAATTCTGGACACTGAAGTTCTTCCTGTTCAGCCCATTTAGTCCGGGGCCTTCCTGAGCAGACACTGGGACAAAGACAAATGGCTGCGGGCTCAGAGCCAATGCCTGGACTCTAGAAGTCCGTCTCTACTGCCTTTGGATATAAGCAGGTGCTCACTACCGCTGGGAATGCAGTAGTACTTGAAGTGGATCATTCTAGATCTCAGCATAGATCGGATGGGTGCAGACAGATCACATCAAATCATAATCTTGCTTCCTCTTCTGGCTTCTGCTGAGGCTACAGGGAAAGGGTGGGATTCTCAGCAGATGGCCTGATCTCAGGTGATTCCTGGGCTTGGCTCTTCTTTGTTGATGGAGGCCTCTGTGTGGCATCTGGCTGGTCCTAACCCTTATTTCCGGTGAACAGAAGCATCTAATTAAGACATCCATTGAAGGAGTCCTAGCAGGAAAAGAATTTTCTCCTTTAAATCTCAAGACTCACATAAAGGTGAAAAAATATTATACAACTCTTTGGGCCTAGAATCAGATAATTATTCTTTTGTGATTGGATTACGAGGGACTGATTTTTTTCTATGAACAAGGAAAATATTGCATCATGAATCATTTCTCCAGGATGAGATCTCGAGAAGTTCCTCTTTTATGTTGTGAATAATAAAGTTATTGCAAACAAACACAATGTTAAACAAATCAGCAGATTTCTGTTACTGCCACTGATCACCCTTTCTCAAATATCACACAATGACTAAGCCTTAGTAAAGTCTTCCTTGATACCTCAGAATCTTTAGCCCCTAAAACAGACTCTGCCCAGACAACTGGAAATACAAGGAAGGAAATATACCTTCTCCCAAGTTCTCCTTGAATTTCCAGATGCTTGGACTGAGAAAGTCTGGGTAAAGAATTTGAGGTAAGATGATTTTTGCCATTGATTTTTCTTGTTGGGACTTTAGGATCTCAAAGCTTCCAGTTTTCATCTTTCCTTCCTACCATGAGAAAGATTTGTGACAGAATATCCCTCCTCTATTCCACATAAGATGTAAGACTTAAGGCCATGTGTGGTGGCACGTGTCTGTGATCCCAGCACTTGGGAAGCTGAGGCAGGAGGATCACTGCAAGTTCGAGGCCAGCCTCAGCTACATAGCTCAAGGTCAGCCTGAACTACACAGTGAGACCCTGTCTCAAAAAAAAAAAAAAAAGATGTAAGACTTATGGCTTCGCCATCTCACCAAGGACTGAGCAAAGAAGGGCAGTGGAACGAGCCCACAGTTCTGCAGAGCTGGGCTGCTCAGCAAGGCTGCCGTTGTTCCCAAGGGCTCAGGAGGCACCAGTGCTCTTCCCCTCTGTCCCCTGAATTTGCACAGTGGACTGGAATTTGCTGAATGCATGACTCTGGGGCCGGTCTACTTTCCAACCATACTCTGCTCTTCATCCATAGTAATTTGTTTAAAAAAAAAAAAATCACTGGGACTTCAGGTGAGCACTGAAACTCTATGATTCTTCTAGTTTCTTTTTTGGCTGGGACTGGAATAAAGATTAGAACTACATCTATGCCAAGGATTTGGCTCAGTGGCGCTGCACCTGCCTTGCAAGCACAAGATCCTGAGCTCGATCCCCGGTACCGGAAAAGAACTACATACATCTAGAGTTCATTTGAAGAAACTATCACCCCATCCTCTGTTACAATTAGTCCCTTTTCTCCTTCAGCTATAGTTTCTCTTATCTCTCTCTTTTTTTTTTGGTACCGGGATTGAACTTGGGTCCTTGCACTTGCGCAGCGGGCAGCGAAACCACTGAGCTAAATCCCCGGCCCTCTCTTATCTCTCTTTTCTTGTACATATTTGAGAAAGTAATAAAACTGTCTTCTTTTCTTTGGTACCGGGGATTGAACTCAGGACCTTGTGCTTGCAAGGCAGGCTCAGCACCACTGAGCTAAATCCCCGGCCTTTCTTTATCTCCTGGGCACATCCTAAGCGCTGGAGTTCACCTTTATGTATTTATAAATATTTTCAACAAAGCAGTAATATGTGATAAACAAGGTTCAACTCTGAGTCTTTGTACCTAAACTTCAGGAGTAAGCTGGGAGATGGAGTCCATGAGAGATCTCCCATGAGAACAGGAGGCTAGGGGTCCTATGGGGTCACCGAGGGTGTGGACTGAGGGAGAGTTTGGGACACAATGACAGTTTAAGAACAGAGTGTACTTTGGAGGGGGCCTGAATAATAATTGCTGATGTTATTGAATATTTACGATGTGCCAGGCACTGCCCTGCCCTAGCATTTGGACACTGAAGTCACTTAAACGTCATTAAAACACCTGTTAGAAATTAGTGAGATGGGAGTTAGGGTTCTACTAGGCAGTAAGGACAGCAAGTCCAAAATGGAGCTGGAAAGTCCAAAATGGAGGCTGCTGAGTCACGACCCTCCAGAGAGATCTTATGAAAACACCTGGCAGGTGTGCTTCAGCTATCTGGAACCTCCACAGTGCACGACTGAACAGGCCGTTGGTTCAGAGGTACATGGACCCTGCATTGACAGTGTGTGAATGTTACATAGATTGGAACCTGAAAAGTATGTAGTCTCCTATAGCGTAGAGATGACATTGCTTACACAATGGCTTGAGCTCCTTTCCAGGCCCCTTAAAAATTCCTAGACACAGAGCCTTCTTGGGTGTCCTACTCAGAACCCTCTCCCAGCTAGTGAGAGACTTACTTCCTTGCCTTTATATCCTTTACTTTCTTGCCTAAATTTAAATAAATAAATTTGCCTATACCCTACCTCCTCCATCCACAGTTTCATTCTTTGTCCCTGTGGGACAACCCAGCATTCTGGTATCATCATCTCATTTTACAGACGAGACACTGAGACCGAGACGCTGTTCAAAGATGCCCACAGTTACCGAGCTAGGCAGTGTTGGAGCGGGCAACCCCATCCAAGCAGACTGTTTCTGAAGTCCACATTCTCCACCAATATGCTCTATCTCCTGATCCAACTTAGGCTGAAGAGTGAACAGGAAATTTATACCTCAGCCCTAGAACCAGCCGTTTGCACATATTCATACATGTGCACACACACACACACATGCACACGCGCGCACACATTTCTCCTCCTGCGAAGCCTTTCTCTGCTTGGGGCAGGCAGAGTTGTCGGAGGTAAACAGCTGGTAAGCTGCTGCAGTCCTGACCTGCTCTGTTCCAGGGCAAGGGAAGCAGAACCATTACCTTAGCCTGGGGGGTCTCAGGAGGTTTGAATGTCAGGGGCCCACAGACGCAGGTTCTGCAGCCCACAGAAAGGTAATACCTGCTCAGGGGCACAGAATTATATGGAGATAAAACTGCTAGCTGAGTACCTTACTTCTTCCCAAGAATGAGCCCCCACCCCTTCCCTTGCTCCTACACTCACAGACTCACCAGTATCAGGGGCACAGGCTTCATCTGCTTTTGCAGCATTGTCTGCATTCTGTAGGTTAGAATCTGGGGAACAACGACAACAACAAGACATTTAAAGATCAGCCTGTGCCCTCTAGCTTCTTAGAGGACAGGTAGGGGTCCTTCCCGTGCGATCTGGTTCATGCAGGTTATGTTGGTGACTGAGTTACTGCCAGCTGGGCTCACGCTCATTGACTGGGGTTGACTGTGTCTCCCTCTCACAGCCCAAACCCCAGAAAGACAGTGACCATGCCTTCTGGTTCCTCTGCTAGCCCCCTGTTAGTCAAGGCCTGTACACATAATGAATGTGCTCCCTCCTCAGCCACAGGTTAGTTTGTGTCCCTTCAGGCCCTCATTCCACTCTCTGACCCAAAATGGCAGGTATTAACCCTCTCTATTTCTCTTGCTGAGGGATTTGACAAGAGTCTCAGTCCCTTGGTCCCCATTCCTACCCCATAGAGCATTTACTATGCTCGGCGGGTTCCTCCAGGAATGCAGCCTGTGGCCTCAGCAAAGGTTGGAGCTGCTCAACACCCTCCCATCGTGGGCAAAGCTGGTCCATGTACCTGGGCCGTTAGGGTCACTGCTGCTGGCCCCCTCCTTGGGGTGGTCGGGGGTCTCCTGCCTGGGCTTCTGGCTGAAGGCCAGGAAGAGGTGTGTGCTCAGTGGCTGGGGAAGATCCACTTCCAGGTATGACCTCATGAACAGCTTGAAGACATCGTAGCTGATTGGCTGGGAGGGGCAGGAAGAGAAAAGTCAGTGGAGGGAAGTAAAGGCACAGAGAGAAAGGGGAGAAGAAAAGGAGGCAGGGAGATGGCAGGTGAGATAAGTGGAGAGGGAAGCAAAGGAAGTGGAGAAGTGATGGGGCAGGAATGAAAGGGGCAGGGGTGGTAGAGAAAGACAGGCGCAGGGAGCAGGGGTCAGATGTAATGAAGAGAAACACCAGAGATTGCCATTAGCGATTGCTTGGGAGGGGGCAGAGGACTGCAGTGGGCCTTGGTGACATTGGATGTGGTCTAAACACGGATCAAAAGGGGGTGATGGAGGGTGTGCTCTGGGGGTGGAGGGCTTTGCCTTGGTCCAGGCTCCTGTGAGCAACCTGGCTCTGAGGAGCAGGGATGAGGTCAGTGCCCTGGAATCCCAGTGAGGATGAAGAAGGATGCAGGTGAGAACATGGCAGAAAGAAATGGCTCTTCCTTGATATCTCGATTTTCCTCTTGTGCCATAAGGAATGCAAAGCTGAGCATCTGGGTCTCAGAAAACAGGTGAGCTCTGGAAGGAAAAATGCAGGCTCCATTCTTCATTACTTTCATAACTTGATCCCCCTAAAATGACAGAGGACCGCGTGCTTCTGGCTCAGCTGCTTCTCCAAACACGTCCTTGAGAAGGTGTTAGGCACCAGGAGAAGAGCAGAAAGCCAAGGACAGAAGGTAGAACCAAGAGAGATGCCAAGAACTAGACCCTCTTCCTGCTGTGTCTCTCCCAGTACCTCCTGGCTTCTGGTCTCAGGCTGGGAGCAACCAGGCCAGCAAGAGCTGCTGTACTCAGCAAACACTCAACAACAAAAACAACCCAAACCGTTTGCAGTGAGTCATTGCTGGCTTGTGCTTTCATGGCATCGGATCTTCATCAAACCAGCAGATGCTCCTGGAAATCATTTGAGGAAGTGCCACTCCAAGATCCGCTGTGCTGGCTTTTGTGAATAATACCAGCCATGAGGATAAATTCCTCTTTTGGGAGCTAACTTGGCGATTCCATCAAAGTGTGGATAGCATTTAATCCTCTGTTTGTCCTGGGAGATCTGTAAGTCTTCCTAGAACCAGGAGTTGATTTGCATGTGTACAATGGAGACTGGGTTCCAAGTCTCGGACCTAAAATTAAGTGACCCTCCTACCCCATTAGGGACTTACAGAGCAATTTCTGTTTGGCCCTTGGCAGGGGTGTTCTGTAGATCTCTGCAGAGTGGAAGAGGCCTCATTCAATTAGGCAGAGGCTCTTCTCTGATCAGGGGACTGCTGAGAGGATGGTGGGTTCACCTTGACTGTGACAGCTGTCCATCTCGGCTTGGCCTTTCGCCCCTAAGTCTGTATGTCTCTGTTTCACACTCTTCTGTCCCTCTCTGTCTCCACAGCTTTGTCATTTCAGAATACCCTTTTCCCATCGTTCTCAGTAAACAACAGCAAAATCTTTCCCTCCTCCCTTCCGGGTGTAATCTCTCACCGTGACCCTCACTTCCTCCCTCTGTCTCCAATGGCATCTGACATCACTTGCTTGTTTGTCTTCCACCTGCAAGCTTGTTCCACGTCTACTATTCCAAAGGCATTGCTGTCTACTCCCACAGAGCTACTAGCTCATCCTCCTTCCTTCCCCTTCAAATTTCTCCAAGCAGACCACGTTAACCTCCTTCATTTCATCCAGTTTAGCATCCAGCCTTTTAGCGCTGAGCTCGCTCTTTGGAAGCTTGTAAATTCAATTGCCTCTTTTTAGACTTTCTCATCTTTGGCTTTTCAGCAGCATGTCATCCTCTCTTCTTCTTGAAATTGTTTTCCATGGAGTTGCTTGGTTTTGTTTTGCTTCATTCTCTACTTTGATTTGACTGAATATTTGAAAATAACATTGTTATTTATTATTTCAAAAAGTTCTTTTGCATGGTCCTTTGGCAAAAATTTAATTGACAAATACTGTTTTAACCTGTAGCTTTGAGTTCCAACGTTTACTGTTAATCTCTTTGGGTAACCATCAAATTGGAATCTACTGGAATAAAATTTTTCTGGGAAACAGACTGTACCAAACGATATAACAAAAAGAAAGAAAGTTGAAACAAAGTCTAAAATAATGCTGTGAAAAAAACAAAGCCAAAAATCACTGAACAAGATCAATGTGAGACTCAGGAGACCCACGACTGGCCTCTGGTCTACTATGTTGCTTGACTCTCAGGTTCTACTTTAACAAATTGTGAGGGCTGGGCTTGAGGATCTCAAGTTCTGAACTTCTCTCAGCTTCCTCCCTAAACTACCTCCCCTTCCTGACTGCTGTTCCAGCTAATGCCAGTGACAGATTCTCCCAACATCCCAGACTCAGCTTTGAACTCTCCACGGCCCGAGACTAGTTGTTGTCCTTTCCTTCTGTCCACTGTTGCTCTGTACCATCTGTCTCAGCCAGGCCTTTTGATGTCCACTACTCCTGCTGCTGTCACCAAAGTTTCTGACTTCAGTTTCATGCATCTTATCCATGGCAATACCTCTTCAGGGCTTCCTTGCCCCAAGTCCCGTGTGTGGTCCTCCCATCTCTCTTACCCATCTTGGCTAGATTGATTTTCCAAAGCTAATGCGGATAAGACTGCTTCCATACTCAAAAGCTTTCATGGCTTTTAACTGCCCATGGGAGAGCTGAGATCAGCTGATGTACTACTATGCTCCTATACCAGCGGTGGCAAACCTATGGGACACACCTGTTTGTTATCATTGAAAGCTCTAAAAGGTTTGCCACCACTGTCCTCTACTCTACATTATAAAATATATTTTAAAAAGACATTTAGGTGAGGTAAAAATGAATATAAGCAGAGGGTCTGATATATTGTGTCCCTGCAGTCTAATGGATTACCCTGCACACTCTCGAGAGCATTGGGATTCGGAACCTCCCTCCTAATTCCACTGTAAACTAGATTTGTAGCTACTCCAAGTTCTCAGAGCAGTCTGAGCTCTCCATGTGCAGCTATGCACCCTGTCCATTCTGGCATACCTGTTTTTTCTTGGCCAGATGTCCATGGCCCTATCCCTCTCAACCACATTCTTTCTTTCCTTCTTAAAATCCTAGCTATGCTTGAAGGCCCAATGCAGACCCCTCACTCGGGAAGAATGTCCTGTACCCTAGTCTCTCTATTCTGCACCTTACCTCCTGCTGTGGCCCTCATATGTGCTGCTCTGTGTTAATGTAGTTACTTGTAACATATCTTAGTTCCTCTCCTAGATCGAGAGCTTCTGGAAGGTACCGAGAGTACCTTATTTCACTCTTATACCCCCTAAATCACCCATCAGTGTTTTTTTCATGGGTATCTGAATGGATGATGGGTGGGTTACTAATTGGGTTCCTATACTTCAGGAATGGCTTGGTCCTTTGCCCCTGGCTGTCATCAGCTTCTACTGTGGGGTCGTTTCAGTATACATCTACATCTACCTATATCTGTATTGAGAGTCTTGTAAGTGCAAAGACCGTGCTGGGCACCAAAGAGAAGACATCAAAGAATCAGGTGTGGGTCCATACCTCCAAGACCCTCAGTGTTACATATATAAGTAAGGTACTGGGATACGTATAATCCGTGCTCAGCGGAAGCCAGTGCCATAGGACAAGAGCAGGCATGCTGCCATGAAAATATAAAGAGTAACAATGATGGAGTTCATGCCCACTTGTTAGGTATCTATCTTGGAGAATACCAAGGCATAGAATAAACCCAAAAAGAGAACGTTCAAGCCGGAAGAGCCCCAGAGGGGCCTGGGTCTCCTTTCAGCACCCAGACTCAGAAGATTTGGGGATGTGCCCCAGCTAGCTGGTGGCAGAGTAGAACTGGAAGCTGGCGCTTCTGACTCCTAGTCAGCTACTGTCTCTGTCCCAGGTCTCAGAACCGAAGTAGTGCTCTGTGCCACTCCCTCCATGCACCACAAATTCAGCAACAACATGATCGTGTGCCACTCAGGAAAGCCTTTTATGAGCACAGGGCAAGAGCAAAGTAGCTGTTTAATAAATATGAAATGGGCAGCTGGGTAGGGAGTGGCCAGTGTTATGCCCAAACCCGATGACAGCCACTTCAAGGCATACTGGTAATTCTCTGAGATCTGTAGTAATATCATGGGCATCATCATTTTTCAGGCCAAGGGAACTCTGTTGTTCACCAGAGGCTGCAAATGTCATGCAGGAGCCGGCCCGGCAACTGCTGCCATGGCCACTTGTTCGAAGAGAGCATGTTAATGCTACGCAGGCCCAGAAAGGAAGACTGAGCTGGAGCACTTACCATTCATCGGGCCCTTCACTTCTCCAGATTACAGAGCAAGAGGAGACTGTGACTGTCCCTTTTGGGGTAAAAGGAATTTTGCCAACATAAACAGCTTGGTTAAGGTCACAAAGCACACGCCAGAGCTGTAACTTGTGCTCAGGAGTGTCTAGGTGCAGACTCACAGTGCCCCAAGGTACTGCTTCTTTCAAGAGGCGGATCTTTTCCACTGTGGCTGTTGGCAGGCGCCCTCTTTCCCACAGGATCTCTTGGTGCTGACAGCAGTGGCATGCTCCTCTGGGCACTCCTCTGCAAACTGCCATTCTCTTACTAGCTTCCCCAGAAAGCTGGCCCTTCCCACAGCCAACTCCTTTCTCTTGAGACATTTTAGCAGCAGGAAGCCATCAAGCTCAAGCAATTAAGCCCTCTCGGTTTCCCCAACCCCGTGGCACGACATTACATCCATGGGAAGTCAAGCACGCTGCACGAGAGAACGAAATCTGAGTGACGGAGCTCCCCTGGGACTCGGCAGCGGTGGGCAGACAAAGAGTGGGCCCAGGGGTGACAGGTGCGAGGGCGGCCACGTGCACCTAACTGACAAGCAGCTCCCTGCTCCGAAAGCTCCCGCACCCTGCACACTCATGGCGGCCTTGAGCAAACTGTTCCCTTCCCACGTGTCAGTCCCCGGCAGACAGGCCAATCAGCGGCCCCCGCCAGCCTTTGTTCCCATGCTTTTGGAGCTGGGGTGGGCGGTGTGGGGCAGTGAGTTCTTTGCTGCTCTGCTATCTTCTCTGCGTGGCTTCTCCTCAGGAACGTTCTTTGAAACAGTGCATTCACGATCTCGCCCCTGTTCTGGCAACTTCCTTCCTGTTCCATTCTCCCTGTGACTGCAGGATTTTATCCAAAGGTCCTCTCAGGTGTACCCTGAGAGCAAGGGTCCTGTTGATTAATTCCCAGTGTCCAGCAGAGAAGGCAATGGCTTAGGTTTGTTGAACAGATGACAACGCGAATAAGTGGCCAGGCTCTCCCTGAGTCAGCCTTGTTGATCTGTCACTTTTCTGAAGTTGGTTCTCAGAAAAGGACCCAGGGGCAGGAAAAAGGTAGGTGAATTTAAAACATTCTGGGAAAGGGGACTGAAGAGGAGTGACGATGGGTAAGTCTAATCTAAGACCCCAGGATGCTAGGGTCATGACTTGAACTTGATCCTGTCACTAGGTAAGTTCCAAAAGGCGGAAACCGCTTCTTGATCTTTGTGCTTCTACTATACATAGCACAGTGCCTGCGTGCCCAAGAAATGATAGATGGATTGAATTTGAAAATGGGAAGAAGTCTTGCATTCACTTATTCATTCAACAAATATTTATCAAATGCCTGCTATGAGCCAGATATTCTCCTGGGTACTGGAGACAGCAGTGAACAAAAATATTCTAGTGGGAGAGACAGACAATTAATTAATTAAATTATACAGTGAGACAGATGGTGAGAAGTATTAAAAAGGAAAAGAAAACAGAGCAGTAGGATGGGAAGCATCAGGAAAGAGGGCTTGAAAGTTTAGATGAAGATGATGACAGTCACTGAGGAGGTGATGTGAACCCAGACTTGAAGGAGGGGAGGAAATGAATAATGTGGTTGTCAGGGGGAGGAGCATTCCAGGAAGAGGCAACAGCCAGAGTGAGGAGCTGATGCTACAGCAATGTGACACCACAGCCTCAAGGAGGCTAATAGGGCTGGAAAGGAAGGCGGACAGGGAGAACAGCAAAAGTGAGTTTAGCTTCTCGGGGGAAGTGCAGACTATAATGACCTTGTCCTTCACTTTGAGTAGGGGTTGGAGGAGCCATGGTAGACTGTGACATAGTAGCTGTGACATAAGTTTTGACAGATCACTCAGTTTGTGTGTGAAGAATAGACTTCAAAGGGCAAAGAAAGAAGCAGGGAGCACTGGTAAGAGACTCCTGCAGTAATCTGAGCAACGTGTGGTGATAACTCAGGTTAGGCTGGTAGCAGGGCAGGCGGTGAGATACGGCTATATTATGGATGTATTCTGAAGGGACAAGCAACAGTTTTTTGATGAACTACATGCGGGATGTGAAAGCAAGACAAAAGTTAACGATGACTCCATGGTTTTGGATTGGATAACTTCAAGAGTGTAGTTGTCAGTGGTTGTAATGGAGAAGAGTGCTATTTTACAGAGGAAGGTTCAGGACATCAGTTTAGCTCATGGTAAGTTTTCTTTTTTTGGTAACAGGGCTTGAACTCAGGACCTTGCAGTTGCAAGGCAGGTGTGGTGCCACTGAGCTAAATTCCCGGCCCAGCTCATGCTAAGTTTGAGATTTCTATTTGATTCTAAGTGGAAATATGAAAAAGGGTAAAAAGAAAACCAGGAGAATGTGGTACTCTGAAACCAAACGAAGAAATTGGAGGAGGATTTGACCAAATGTATCCAATACCACTGAGCAAAACTGCTGTTGGATTTAGCCTCAGCGACGTCCTTGGCTATCCCGACTAGTGGTTTTAGTGGAGGCAAGGGAGTTGCATACTGATGGAAAGAGACTAAGAAGAAGAGAACATGGAGCCAATCAGTATATAAAAATCTTTTCATAGTCGTGCTATAAAGAGCAGGAGAGGAATGAGTTGGTAGCTTGAGAGAGAAGTAGAGTTAGGAGAATGTTTTTTAATATAGGAGAAATAATGCTGTACAGATGTGAGTAGGAAAAATCTAATATATATGGGAATGTGGATGAGAAACACATGGAATCAGAGATGGAGAGAAAGAGACAGGGGTGGGGGCACATGTGTTGCTGAAACTATGCCTGTTAATAGGCCAGAAGAGGGTGGGACTGAATGTTTAAGAGGGGCAGCTGGACTTAGATCAGGACACAGAGAGCTCACCCCTAATTATGGGAGAAAAGGTACTGGTGGGTTTGCACATGGGTGAGGGAGCTAGTGGAATGGTTAGCTGAAAATGAGGAGAGGAGGAATAACAGACTTTAGCTGAGAAGGTATGATGGAGTTTTTTAGAAGAGTGGGAGGGGTAATGGAATTGGGAAACACGTAAAGCTAGACAGCACTGACGGCTCGCTTGCAACTCAGGAGAAAATATATTGAGGAGCAAATTCTTCAAGGCAAGCTAAGCCTCCAAGAAGGCAACAAATTGTGAAAGGAAAAGACTAGAACATAAGGTTTTCTAAGGCTTGAAATGAAAATATGCTTACCTTATGTGGATCATATTGCTTGAGGCTCCCACCCTCATTAAATTCAGCCAAGACATCTTTTATCTTCTTGGAGGAATCTGCAGAGACACAATTCATATGAGAAGTACTGGTGAGCAGCTAGTACAAGGCTAGGCTGAATAAATTCTCTCCATTCAACCACGGTTATATAGAGCAGCCCCTTATTCATTCCCAGGACCATATGGAGAAATGTCATCTATCATTCTCTTCCCTTCTTCCCTCCCATTTCTTCTTCTTCTTTTGTTCAGTCTGTTCTCTCTCCTGCTATCTGAGCTATCTTTCTAAAAGACAAATCTGATCAAATCCTCTCCCTGTTCTATAGATTTCCATTTTCCCAAGGTAGAGCCTAACCCCGTTGGCCAACTTTCAGGATCTGAGCTATCCTAATCCTTTCCCCCCATTCACCCTACTTTTCAGCCACACCAAATCACATTTACGGAAATATCTGAGTATACTGTAGACTCTTCCATGGCATTTCTTCTGTCTTGTAAACTGCATTCAATTTTCAAGATACAGTTCACAGGTCAATTCTTTTGTAAGATCTTGCTTTGCATTAGTCAGTTAATCATTTTCTCCTCTGGCCCACATGTAACTTGTACAAAACTCTCTAGCAGCACTTGTCATGTGGTATTACAATTATTAATTTGCCTATCTTGCTCATCTCTTGTCCTTAAGAACTGTAACTGGCTGGTGTGTCCTTGTATATCAAATCAAGATCTGACATATAACTAAGGTCCAGAAAAACAATATATAGATGAGTGTATAATCATCTGAGTGGAAATTTTAAAAGATTTTTAAAAATTGTTAATTATTTAGGATGGGCTGACATGAAGTCCCACGGGCCGCTGTCCTTGGTGCTGAAAATTATTGTGCACCCAAGCCAGGTGCAGAACTGTAGTTTCTTCTAATTCTGGGAACCTGACAGCTCTGTGCCCCTCCCCCTTTTTTCTTTATTTTTATTACCTATCTTGATGGGGGAGATTGAATTATCCATCCTGATACAAAAACATAACCTCAATTATGTTTCATAATTAGTATGGCTGCATTAATTTTCTTAGAGCAGTTTTATTATATTCTGATGGCCACGACATTTTTCTCTGGAAGTTGAGCCATCCTACCCCCTTGTTTGTCCTATATATTACATTTATATTGGAAAGGGACAAAGAGAGACTCAGAGGACTACAAAAGCGTGATGGTTTACAAAATTCTGCTTTCCATAGCAAATAATTCAGAAACTACTAGAGACAACAGTGGTTGTATCTTTTTGGATTTTTTAAGGGAAAATTGAAAGAAGGGCATTAATAGTTATCACGAAGAGCACATCATGAGTGCATTCTGTGCAGTTACCAGCACTCTGACATCAAAGAAAACCAAGGATTCTGTGCCCTGTGCTTCCCCTGTCTCCAAGTATTGTGAATAATTAAGAGCTTCTCAAGCTCCATTATTGCTGCTACTTAAACATCCAAGCACAGGGTAAAGTCTTTAAAAGCTCACACAGTGTTCCTTGTTTTTCAGGTCCTTTGTACAGAATGGTCTTATAGGCCTAGGTAAAGTACACATACTCATGGGCTAGTTGTTTCTCCATGGTTTTGCTGACTTGGATTCTACCAAGTACAAGTTATAATCATTGTGGGATTGAGACTCTGAAAAGCCACAAGAAAATGCTGCTGTTGCCTAAAAATGAAAATTTCTTTCTGAAATTTAAAACAGATGTTGAAAAACTAATAGCTCAGTAAGATCCAGGCAGCAGATGCCAACAATTTGGATCGCTTCCATTCAATTCAGAAAGCCCTACAGAGGGTTAGATGCTGCAGGGTATTGTTAATAAACCAGTGGGGAAAATGACCTGAATAATTGTAGTTCAAGTTACCTTTTACCGAAGATGTTTATCTGTGCATTTGCATAAGTTCTCCTCCATCAAACCAAACGAATTTGGTAATTACTTTTTAAAATGAATTTCGAATTTATGAATTCTGAATTAATGAATTTCAGAAGGTGAAATTCAGAAAAATTAAGTGACTTGCCCAAGACCCAGAGCTCTAGCTGAGTTCTAGTCTATTCTTACCAAATATTTGTTAACACAAAGGAAAATGTAAGTAATGCATAGCAATGAAATGAAGCTCTATGAAACCCTAAGTGAGAAGTAAAATTAAAAGGACCATAGGGTTGAGGTAGGACCGGGACTGACTGTGGAGACGGCATTGGAAGCAGGGCATAAAGGATGTGAATGATTTTGAGATACTGACGTGAAGTGGGAGGGCGTTCTCAGAAGGGACAGAGTGAACAGAGATGCAGCAATCAGTGCCACAGAACATCTAGAAAAAATAGGAACCTGGGATGAACTCGGGCCAGACTTGCAAGGGTCTTCAATGCCAAGTTAACATCATTGATTTGAAATTGTTACAGAGTTTTTTGAATGATAGAATAATATAACTAGGTCTCTGTTTTCTAAAAGACGTTCTGAAAATAGAAGGGAAGAGAGTTTAGAATTAGGCCGGAGCTCGATGAACATCATATGCATATTCTTATTATTCTACAAGTAGCGAGATTATTTAGAAAACAATCCTACATTTTAGAATCTATTTTAATGGGAGTTTTTCAACTCCGCCAAAGTGTCCAGATTATAAAAAATGCAAATTTGAAAACATGGGTATGCTGGCTTCTTCAAGAGTAAAGTCAGCATTTTGACTGAGAACCAAGGGACTGGTTTCAATAAAATGTATACTTTTGAGATTATCATCACATTTTTTGATATTTCACAGTTCATCCTACCAGAAATACTTTTTATCATATATTCACATTTAACACGGTTTTAAAAGAAAAAAGAGAAAACATTTAAGATATCTGATTAATAGCCTCAGATTAAACACACACACACACACACACACACACACACACACACAAACAATCCATGAGACTTCTGACTAATTCAGGAGTATTTGGGGTTTTCCTCATAACATAGTTACTTTAATTTTATGGGGTTTTATAGGTCATAGCATTGACACCATTTCAAAAAAGGAAAACAGCCCGATTCTCAAATTTGTGACACATGACTTTCCCCTTGAATGTCCTCTGAATCTTTATGGTAGTTTTCTTCTCAGAGGATTTCTGGGTTGGGTTCATCTTTCCATGAGGAGTGAGTGGGTATGGTGTATGACTAATCCATTTTGATGAGCACTGCTCCATTCTGCTTCCCCTCAAGACAACGATAAAAGACTCCTTGGGAGCATTCTTTGAGCTCACTACAGGTGCCATCTGTTGGCCCAACAGTGGCAGTGCAGGAGGGAATTCCTTTGTCAAAGTTTGTACATAAACAACATCACCACCAGGCTCAGAGGACACAGGTTCCATTTAAAAAAGGAAATCCGAAAACCCACAATGAGAGCGACCCTCTAAGGTGCATACCTCTTCCTTCCTCATTGTTCTCTAGGAACTTCTTGAATTGTAACATGCATGTGAACTGCATGGGGTCTGGGGAAATCGCAGATTCTAGATGATGCTCATCACATTGAGCAGGGCCCTCACTTTTGGTGAACAAACCCCAAGCAATGATCCTGTAGATCCAGGACTGACTGTTGAGGCTCACCTGCAAAGATGCTGAGGCTAGGGGAACATATTCCAAAGACTGGTAAGTCCATAAGTGACTTTCCACCATGGGTAGTTGGGGGTGTGAAGAGACAGAAAGAAGATGGATGAAAAGCTGGCACATGAGGAAAAAAAATTAAAACCTAAAGTTTTCTTCTTCAAATGAAACCTACGATGTACAAATAAATTTTCTAATTACTCTAAAGAGTCAAGAACCTAGTGAGTTACAGAAAAACCAGAGCAGCATCTTCTGCAGGTACTGGAAGAGGAAATGATGTCATGACAGAGATGCCAGGGCCAGGAGCACTGCAATGAAAGGTCTGCTTCTCCATCCAGGAGGAATTGGGCCCAGAACAGGATATGGAAGCATATGTGAGAAGCTCAGTTCCATAAGCCGTGGCTCACTTCTACACATACCTTCTCCCAGCTACACTCCTTCCCACCTCACTGTTAATCCTCAGCACACAATCCATTGTCTGGCATAAAACAGATGCTCAATATTCACTCAGTCAATGAGGGCTAGAAAAGGGCCCTGTTATCACACTTGTCCCATGTGTCCTGTATGCCCAGGGACATATGAGGAAAAGGTACACCAGGGGTTCTTAAACTTGGTTGCCTGTTGGAATTATCTGGGAAGTTTTAAAAGATACTGAGGTCTGGGTCCCATGCCTACAGATTGTGATTAAATAAATGGTCCAAGCCAGGCATAGTGGTGTGTGTCTGTATCCCAGTGCTCGGGAGGCTGAGGCAGGAAGATTGCTACGAGTTCAAGGCCAGGCTGAACTACATAGTGAGCCCAAGGCCAGTCTGGATTGCATAGCAAGACCCTGTCTCAAAAACCCAAAGATAAATAAATAAATGAATAAATAAGTCCATGGACTGTGGTCAGGGCACCGCAAATGATCACTGAGGCAGATCAAGCTAAATATGTGTGTGAGGGGGAGCCTGTGGAACTCATGGCTCTGGTACAAATATTTCATAAAAAAATAAATGGAGAAGATTTTACATAGAAAGCAAAGGGAATTTTGGATGTAAGAAAATCCTCCTGAGGAATACGAAACTTTTCTGATGCATCACAAATGAACTGAACTATTAGTATGGCTTATTTGTGTAAGTAAAATTTGCATTGCGAGCAAAATTTCCCACTTTTTCTCCAAATAATTTGGCCTTCTCGGTCACATTTCAAGTAAGAGTGGAGGATTAGACAGCCTGTACAGTCTTCCCGCTGAGAGCGTGGCCCCCGGATCAGTGGCACTTGCATCATCTAGGACGGCAGTCACCTACTGCTGGCTTATATTGTGAAGAATTCTTACAGCTGGAAGAGATCTTAACTATCGTCAAGTTCAATTTCTACCTCCTTTACAAATGACAGTATTCAAACCAGAAGCCCAAGGGCACGTGGTAGAATATGACTTTTTATTCAACGTGCTGAAACTCGGCACATTCTGGACATACTGATTTAGAATTTGGACTT